ATGCAGAGAATTAACCAGCAACGTGTGTGAAAGAGGGGGAAACGGTTTCGGGGCCTGTGCGGTGAATCCAGAGGCAGCGAATCGAATGATTAATAAGTAATCCCTTAGTCACCCACAGGGCCTGTAAGACATGAACACACCGACACCTTACACAAACACCCACATACACATGTATGCACACATTTACAGTACACGCACACATACACACACACACACACACACACACACACACATTTGCACCTGTCTGCATGGCTTCACCAAATTATAAAGCTGAATGATTTGACTGCAAGCGAACATGCTCCTGGCCCCTATGACACTTTGATTTGCTCCCTCTCTGCACAGCTAGCATTGTGCGTGTATGTGTGAGAGACAGAGAATGTGCATGAAAAGTCCGTGTCAAAACTCCTCACCACAGGTTATTCGTCACGCTCTGGACACTGACGTCAGTGTCAAGGTTTCCATTAGTGCTACCAATTGTCAAAATAGTACTGTGGTCAAATAATGGTCAGTAGGTCACAAGGTCAGATGAAGTCCATTTCCCCTGCTTAACATTGATTTTCACTCATCAATACAAGCTATTGGAACCTTGGAATGATTAGAGAGCTGTAATGAGTTTGACTTGAGAAATGCTTGGCAAGTTTGCTTGTGGAGGGAAGAACGGTCACACAGAAAGACAAAAAACAACACATATTTTAATGTGTCCACTCTAACACACAAAATGCTGCTTGCAAGTTAAAAAACTGTTTTATTTTCAGTTCAGATTTTAATTGATTGAAAGTGAAGATTTCCACACACTTAGATCCATGCAATATAACACTTTATTTCGCAAGCTGTCAGTCTATCTGACCTACATAAGAGCATTGCAACTTGCGAAATAAAGTAATATATATCGTAGGATCTAAGTGTGTGGAAATCTTTCATTTCAGTTTGGAGACATTGACGCTTCCAGCACCTTAGCAAAGATTTAGCCTGGTGGAGCGGTTGTCATCCTGCAGATCTTAATCGATTAGAATTTCAGCTGGTAGCTTCCTCCGGTGCACACACAGCAGCACTTAAGTAAACCATTTATATGTGTTATGTAGCTTTTTTTTCAGCTGCAAGCAGTCCAAGGAGACATCAATTTAGGAGCTGCATAGCACACATGGGTGCTTGAAAGGTGGGGGTGGGACTATTCTGGGCAGGTAGCGCTCCCTCTGTGATATTTCCATCTAACTGCGGCCACTGATCCGTCCCTAATCCAATTCCTGCCTCTAATTACACACACACACACTCACACTTTCACACACAAAACATTTGAACAATATGCACGCAATCCAGCAACCACATACCAACACACGCTACCTTACACACACACAAACATGCACACAAACGCACACATAGAAACACGCAGGAGGGACCACATTTAGGAAGGGTTTTGTAGTAAACCAGGCAGAGAAAGTAATACAGTTGCTTGTTGTGGTAAGTGAAGCGGTGTTTCCATGGATTAAGCGGCGCCACTGAAGCTCTATGGGCTGATATTTGTGCCAGTAGAAACTGAATTTGAATCATTTAGAACTGAATCTGAATTGCTCAACTTGAATAATTGCATTAAAAAACTGAATTTGAATTG